GGTGAGTTGGTACTGGTGTAACTGGGAGCTGTGGGTTGGGATTTTGGGGGGGGGTCCCGGTAGATTCTCGTGGTGCGGGGACCGAGCGTAGCTGCGTTTTTTCCAGGTCTGCGTCGTTTTTTTGTGCCGCGCACGGTAGAGAGAAAAATACAACGCCAAAAAAAAAAAAGCTTTTGTGTGTGTCGCTGTCACGAGGCCTCTGAAATTGTCCTGCGGGGACGTGCCCGTGCGACACTGTCCCTGGACCGCAGCGATGGCTGTGGCAGGGGGGACACGGCAGGGTGGTCGCGGTGCTGCCCCACTCTCCCTCTTCCCTCCGCAGCCCCAGGGGGGGTTTTTATAACGCTGCAGCTGCTCTACGTGGCGATCTGTGCCCGCCTGTGCTGATCCGCGTCCGCCTCTGTGCCAGCTTTCCCGTAAAATAATCCTCTAAACACCACGGGGCCGGGATGTTGGAGGGAATTTTGTGGCAGCTGCTGCAGAGAAGTGGCTGCCACCCCTTCATCTGCACTCAGGATCAGTCAGGATGTAAATGTACCAGCTCCGGTTTGATAGTATTTACAGAACAGGGTGACAGGGACACTTCCCTGCGTGGTCACCCATGCTGCAGTGTCACCCAGGGCTGGGAGGGAAATCCCGGGGTGCTGCGCTCTGCGTCCTGCTGTCGTGGGGAACCGCCTGGATCAGGAGCGGGAGGAGAGGGCGCAGGGAGACGCGCTGCAGAGCTGCTTCGTCCCTGCAACGTGGAGGGCGCAATGGCAGGGCTGGGAACGCTCCTGCGTGCTCCAGTCCTTGGGATTATGATCCTATTCTGTATGTGCCATAAAGTGCAATTGGATTGAAACCTTATCAAACGAAACCCACATCCCTGGAGGACAGGCGAGAAAGAAACGAACCCAATTTTTAACCCCATGCTGTGAATCTTAATTTCCCGTGATTTATACGGTGTGTTTATCAGCGGATGCTTTCACAACAGGATTTACCAAGAGGGCTCCGAGGCCAGCGCCGCTGTGGTGGCCGTGGAAACCCACAACATCCACAGAAGGGATCGGTGAGTTCCCACCGGGCGCGGGCAGGATCCCCCCCTCTGCAGGGCGAGTCCACGCTGAGCTGGGGTCTCCGGTTCGCTGGGGTTCCTTCTGGCTCTGCCCCTGCATGGATGTGGGTGCAGGGGCTGAGACATGAGTCTGCTGGTCCTGCTTGGTCTCAAAAAATCCTGAAAATGAGATCCTGGCTCTCCTGATGGATGGTACGGGCTCCCACAGGGGCCAGTGGAGCCGAGGTTTCGCCCGAGCCGTGGCGTGCCAACGCTAGCCGGCAGGAACGATGGTTTTCAGGATGGCGGTTGTGTCTGCGCTGGTTGAAGCGTCAGGCTCCGAGTGCTGGTTCTTTGCTGACCGAACAGCCTGACGGTCAGGTTTGGGTGGGATGTTCGGAAGAACCGAGCAGGTTGGCTCCGAGTGCTCCCCGCCATCCCGAGGAGGAGGTGGGAAAAGTCTCCCGTCATTAGGTGCTGTCAGTGGATCTTCACGAGTATTCTGCTTCCCGTGTGGGTGTGGGGCTGTTGGCAGTATTAGCAGAAACTCTGCGTGTGAAGAGAATATATTATCAGTAAATATCTGAGATCGCTGCTGAAGGGCTCCAAGAAATCTGCAAGAGATCTGCGCTTCAAATTTTAAAGCCATTTTTTCCCACAGAGGTTGTTCTCATTGACACCCCCCCTTACAGAGGGGTTGGATTTCTGATCTCACCTTCTCCTGGTAGATGAGCTTCATTCGGAGTGGTGCTATATAAAAAACCAGATGCCAGTCGCTGTTAGAGCTGGTAACTGGAGAAGACTAAGGGAAGACTGATCCCAAACTGGGAATGTCCCTTCTCTTGGTTTCCTGAGCGTAGGTCTCACAGCCTGTGAGCTTGGTGGGATTTGAGCTTCTTGGGTGGAAAGTTTCATTTTTATCCCTTCCTCCCTCAGACCCCAGCACCATTGAAACGAACGAGGAGATCGAGATCGCCTATCCCATCACCTGCGGGGAGAGCAAAGCCATCCTGCTCTGGAAGAAGTTTGTCTGTCCAGGAATTAATGTCAAGTGCGTGAAGGTAAGGGAGTTCCCGCAGCAGATTCCTTCTCTGCTTTCGAGGTCTGGCGCTTGACTTTCTGACTTTTTGTGTTTCATCTACGCCTTGTCCTGGAACCGAGGACAGCGTGCTGGATTGTTAGAGCTAAAGATGTTTTTAGCATGGGGAGAGGGAGAGTTTAAAGCAGAGTCGCATTTGGCACTTGGCGAGGGACTTGGAGCTGAGGGCAGGCAGGGATGCTGCGATCTGCCAGAGCTTTCCTTCCCTGTCTCCTTCCCTCGGTGTCCTGATCCTCCACTTCCTCGCTGAGCAGGTTGGATCAAGAAGAGAAATCTTGCTGTTAACCTTTTTCCATTGCGAGCGTGCAAGGCTGAGTCCCCGCGTGCGGCTGCAGCCTCAGCAGGAACGATCTCCGTCACCGGAGCGGGACGGAGCAGATGCTCCAGCGAGTACCTGTGTCAGCGAGACGCTGCTCGGCTGTTTGATGTAATGGGAGTCTCCCTAATGATCACTGAAACAACTGTACGTGTTCACAGAAGGAGCTGATTTGGTTCATGCTCCATACGAAAGCCTTTGGGGCTGTTCTTGGCCAGAGCTGTGTGGTTTGAAGGCTGACGGCTGGCAGGGCATCCCTGCAAATGGATCTGTTCTGGATTTGCTGCGCCCAGGGGCTCAAAGCCGGCAGGGATTTGAGAAGCAGCCCCTCTTTCTGGGGGGAGGTGGGGGCTCGGGTGGGCTGTGGGCTGGCTGGGTTGGATGTCCCAAGCGATGTTCCCCTGTGTTCGCTGAGCTTTTGTTTGTCTCCTCATCAGTTCAACGACCAACTGATCAGCCCGAAGCATTTTGTTCACCTGGCTGGGAAATCTACCCTGAAGGACTGGAAGCGAGCCATTCGCCTCGGAGGAATCATGCTGAGGTATTTATTTCACTGTGTCCAGCTCCAGGGCTTCATCATCGCAGCTGCAGGATCCCGAGCCGGCATTTTGGCCGCGTTGCCGTCCCCGGGAGATCTCCTGAAGGCTCACGTTACCTGGCCGGCAGCCTGCAGAGATCCCGGCCCCGTGCTCTGCGGGGCAGGATTCCTCATCCTGCACAGAAATGGCCTCGCCTGGGGGACCTGGTTCGTGGTGGGGGTGGAAAAGGGCTGAAGCCCTGTTTGTGAAGCTTGTGTTTGCCATTTGAAAGCCCTGCAGGAGATGTTTTGTGTGCAGAGCGGCGCTGGGTCTCCCTTTCTCCATCCTTCCCGTAGTGTTCCTGGGTGGAAAACTCCCTTTTGTCTCCAGGCTGAGATTTGAGCTGAGCCTGGTTCTCTCCCCACTCCCTGCACAGGAAGATGATGGACTCGGGCCAAATCGACTTCTACCAACACGACAAAGTTTGCACCAACACCTGCCGAAGCACCAAGTTCGATCTCCTGATCAGCAGCGCCCGAGCGCCGGTGCCGGGGCAGCAGAGCGTGGTGCAGACCCCGACCTCAGCTGACGGTAGGAAACCAGTTACCATGCTGCAGGAGTTTCCCTCGGGTGCTCCTCTCCCTCCCTGGGCTGATCGAATCAGGTTGAGCCCCAGGCAGGCTTTACACCATCTCCCCACGGGTAGCCGGGCAGTCCCACCGGTCAGGAGGCTGCTCTGGTTTCAGGGAGGGAAAATGCTCCTCGTGGCCGCTCTCAGAGAGGTCTCGGCAGTGTTTTCGGGGAGCTGCTCTGCAGGAATGGGAAGCAGCCGGTGTTGAGCAGTGACTAGAGCAGCCTCGGGAGCCAGGGGAGGCTCACCTCGAAGGGATCCCTGTTCTGGGGTCACCGTGTGAGCAAACAAACACCCGAGAGCTTGCACAGTGGCTCCTGATGCCCTGTTTGAGGGTCTGTTACCGAGGCCAGAGATGGGCTGATGCTCAGAAACGAACCCCGGCATGCTGACCCCCCCTGGGACAGCCTGCTCCATGTCACCTGGACACCCATGTGATGGCTGGACGTGGTTTGATTGTCATCCCAACCACAAATCTCAGCGAATCCCATGCTTCAGAGCAGAAAGTGATCTCTTTGCTGAGGTTGAGATTATTCCCAGCTCTCCCGCAGCGCTCAGCCGGGCAGGTGACATTTCTCTAAGGCCCTGGGGGGGTGAGATCCAGAGCTGTCCGTAGGCCAAGGAGAACCTCCCGGAAAGCACCATGGCCACAGGGTAAAACCTGACAGTGGCTGCACATTGGCCGAGTCCCAAACTTGATCCAGAAACTTAGGACTGAGTCAGATCCATTTCCCTTCTACCAACCAGCCCGGCCCTGAGCCTGGCATTTCCTGAGAAATTAGAGCATCTTTGGGGTGCAGAGCTCCCTGCTGACGAGGCAAAGAGAGAAGGACTGCTGAGACAAGGTTTATTTGTTCCCTTCTTTATTCTGATCCTTTTCTGCTCCTTTTATGTCAGGACTCCAGTTTTTTTTTTTTTCCTGGAGGGCACGTGGTTTTCCCTCCAGAAGACCCAGAACCTTTCACCATCCCAGTTCCAATAAAAAGCAGCGATATTTGCTTTGTTTGGTTGAAAGAGGCCAGGCACAACCAACCTGACTGTGAGAGTGAGAACAGAGCCTGGGAGGGGCTGGGGGGAGCTGGCCCTCGGGGTGCTGCAGCGGGAGCTGACGGTGTCTCTCTGGCAGGGAGCATCACCCAGATCGCGCTGTCGGAGGAGAGCATGGAGGAGGGGATCGAGTGGAACTCGGCTCTGACGGCTGCCGTCACCATGGCCACTGAGGAAGGCATGAAAAAGGACACGGAGGAGATCTCGGGTGAGCTCAGGCTGCTTCTTGGGTGTTTGCTTGCTCTCTCCTCGCCTGTTACGTTCTGGAGACTGAAATCCTGAAAATAAAGAGGGTTTAGGCAGTGACAGAGCTGTCCCCAGCCCCTTGGCTGTCCCAGGCACGCAGGGTCCTTGCCAGACGCCCCTCATCCCAGTGGGCAGCGAGACGTCAGCCCCAGCCTTGCGGCTGATGGATGATCCCCCCGATCTGTTGCTGCTCGTTACAGCGAGGGGCTTTTTTTTGTTCATTAGAAGGATGTAAACGTCTGCCAGCTGGAGCTAGACTGAAGCCACGGTGTCTTGTTGGTACCCGGTGTTAGTACCCCGCCAGCTCTCCTGGCTGCGGTGCCTTGCGTTCCCTCTTCAGATCAGTGCAGAAGCTTACGCAAAATTTCCTCAAACAAAGATTTTAAGCTCTGCATCCTGCAAAGATGAGCAGAGGCAGGGAAACGTTCCCTTGGAAGGCATGGTGATGCTTGAAAACATTACTGATCTGCTGTCTGGATCTGTTTTGCTGCCCGGATCTGTTTTGCTGCCCTTTTCTTTTTTTTTTTTTTTTTTTTTAGTTTTTCTTGCATGTTATATCCACCACAGTGGTCAAATTAGAAGTCGTCTTAAAAAGTTACATTTTCCTGCAAGGTTTAAGATAGTTCTATGGGGAAAAATGCCAAGTGCTTGAACATGCTGACTTCTCGTTCCCTCTCCTTGTGCCAGAGGACACGCTGATGTTCTGGAAGGGAATAGCCGATGTGGGGCTGATGGAAGAGGTCGTCTGCAACATCCAGAAGGAGATAGAAGAAGTCCTGAGAGGTGTCCAGCAGCGGTTGGGTCAGTCTCCCTTCCAGATGACAGGTAGGTTGTGAGCCACAGCCTCTGCGGTGGGGAAGGATTCTCGAAAGGGCAGCTGCAGGCAAAAAAAACACGGCGAGGGTCCATCCGCAGCGTTCGAAGCTGTTGAGGCAGGATGGTGACGAGTTTCTGCTCATTAGCTGAACACTGAGAGCTGGGTCTGGGTGTGCTCTCAGCCTGCCCAGCGGTGAAAAACATTCTCTTACACCACTGTGGGCACAAGGACGCGGTATGTCACCCTGCTCCCTGAGAAAATGACCCCAGCAGCTTGCTGAGACGATCGGGCAACTGTCCACAGCTCCCAGCCCTCCTGCCAGCCCAGACTCACTTCTCCGACCGGAGTTACTCCAACACTTTTCTCCGTGACAGCGCTGGCTTCAACAGACCCTGCCCCCCCACTTCTTGTCCTGTCTTGTGCCAGCAAACCTGGGTTTGGGGCTGAACCAGCTGAGGGAACTGATCTGGGTTAAAAATAACTCCCCTCCCCTCGTTAGGGTTATTTTTAACTTGGATCCGTTCCCTAATCCCGTTCAGCGCGTGCCCCCGTGAGCACAGGGTGGGAGAGCAGCTCTTGTTGATGCTCTTGCTGAGAGAACATCCACGTAGCCACGAGCTTCATTTTATCCAGGATATTTTATTTTTTTAATTTAGCTTTGGGCTGGCGGATCTCTGTGTCTGGTAGGTGGCAGCTTTGGGAAGCTGTGAATGATGGAAGCCAGTGGATGATAACAGAAATTTTGCCAAGCATTGGGTGAAGCTGGCATGTTAGTGACACCGCCAGCAGCAGGGGGTGATGGTTTGTAGGTGGAGAGCTCGTTTGGATCTCTCTGATTGCAAATGATGCTTTTCATTTGCAGCCATTTGGAGCTGCTTGGGTGACACATCTCTGTTTCATTTTCTTCCTCATGTGAACGGGATTATTTAGTCCTTGGATGTCAGAAGGATACGGGAGCTGGGTCTGCCCTTGTCAGTGAGCCCTTGGGGAAGAACAGAGATAGTTTTACAAAAAGAGCAGGAAATTTTTGGTGTCATATGAGCATCTTTGGTGTACCTGACCGGGTCCCACCTTTGGGACTGGCACTCAGGCACTTTCCTTGCAGATGCCGCGGTCCTGAACAACGTTGCCCACACGTTTGGCCTCATGGACACGGTCAAGAAGGTTCTGGACAACAGGAAAAACCAGACGGAGCAAGGAGAGGAACAGTTTCTTTACGCGCTGGCAGGTACGGGCGGTGCCTAGCGAGGCTTCTCGTCCCGGTGCTGCTCTGGGGAACTGCTGTGACTTTCTTCTGCCACAGGAAATATTTGGGTTATTGTTCAATACACGCTGCCCTGAAACAACCGCATCCCAATCCCTTTCCAGGGCTTGCGTGGAATTTCCCCCCTCCCTCGCCTCGCAGCGAGCAGTTGCTTGGGGTCTGCACCCTGTGCTGCAGGCGGGGTGCTGGGGGTGCCGGTCCCGTTCCGTCGGCGTTAGGGAAGCGGTGCTGGGGCGACAGGCTGCGGGGCAGCCACCTGGGCTGCCAGCAGTGCCACGCTGTGCCCGAGATAATCAGCCTCTCCGTGCACGGGGTGCCGCGTTGTTTTCTTGTCTTGGCGTGGAGCTATCAGGTGTCCTGCGTGGCTTCCCCTGAGCTGAAGCCAGTAACTAACCTGACCTGGATTCCCCAGAGCCGCGGGACGTGTCTCCCTCCTCACCGTGTCCCGTAGGACCAGTTCTTATCCGGGATGTCCTGGTCCCCTACTGCCCTGGATAAATGAGATTACTGCGCTGCTTCTGATGCCAGTGTTCACGCAGACGAGGGTTCAGGGAGATGTGTCACTGACCCGGGTGGTCCTGCTCCCTGTCCCCAGCGCAGGGGCTTGGCTCCTGGGGAGGGGACCCAACCAGGCTCGGTTCCTGCTGTCTGCAGGGGCTTGTCCCCTCTCTCGTGTCTCACTTGGGGAGCAGAAATGCCCATTTCATCAGTGGGAAGATAATGGAAATAACAAATCACAGAATCCCAGACTGGTTTGGGTTGGAAGGGACCTTAAAGCCCATCCAGTGCCACCCCCTGCCATGGGCAGGGCCACCTCCCACCAGCCCAGGTTGCCCAAAGCCTCATCCAGCCTGGCCTTGAACCCCTCCAGGGATGGGGCATCCACAGCTTCTCTGGGCACCCTGGGCCACTGCCTCACCCCCCGCACAGGAAAACATTTCTTCCTCACATCTCATCTCCATCTCCCCTCTTCCAGCTTCAAACCGTCCCCCTCGTCCTGTCCCTGCACCCCCTGATCCAGAGCCCCTCCCCAGTATGATGAACAATATTTAGGCAGGAAATGGCTCCAGACTGTTGCCTGTTCCTTATCCGGGTGCTGAGAGCGGCTAAAGGGCAGAGCCGGTGCCAACACTGCCCCAGGTGCCGGGAGAACCTCTCCTGTTCCTTCCGCTCAGTCTGATCCTGAGTGAAACGCTAAGATGACGCTCGACTGGGTGGACAGGAGCCCTCCTGTCACAACCACAGGGTGTCAGGGTTGGCGCTG